AGCAAGGAATCAACATAGCTAAAGGTTCACCAAAATAAACAATGTTTTAACAAAACAAAATGTAATCTATATCTATATCTATAGCTGTATCTATATCTATAGCTGTATCTATATCTATAGCTGTATCTATATCTATAGCTGTATCTATATCTATATCTATATCTATAGCTGTATCTATATCTATAGCTGTATCTATATCTATCGCTGTATCTATATCTATATCTATATATGGTAGTTTGGCTAACCAGACACATTTGAGTCAAAGATCTTTCCAAATCTTTTCAACATTCTTTGACTTTTTTTTCAACTTTCTTTTTAAAATAGCAAAAATACACAAAGACCTTTTTGATTTTTTTTTCCTATAGGTAGGAAACTTTGTTTGATTCCTAGCTCACGGTTCGGTCATGTCAAGTCCAGAACGAAATGACCAGTGACAGCCTCAGGAAATGAATGAGTTCTTGGTCGGAAGATATGAAAACGCTGCCTGCTGCTTCAGTAAATGAGGTTCTGCTTCTTCATACAAAAGATCTTTGTGAAATTCAATTCTGCAGAGTGTGTTCTCCTGAACCACAGAATCTGGAGAAAGAATCAGAGCGGATTTACCTCAGGCTGACAAAATAAAAAGCCTTGTGTCAAAATGTCTATGAATGCAGTCCATGTCAAAATTATCAAGCTACTCCAAAGGAGGAGTTTCAATTTTTTTATAATATATATCAGACATGGATAATTTACTTAATATTCTCAAATTAAAAAAACAACAGCGCTGCTGCTTCAGTTTCTTTTTCTGCTTCATTCTGAGCCTCATTTTTTCAGTCAGTTGTGTTTATTTTATATTTTAATTAAATTCCAAACTAGTTTTTGTTAAACCAGTCAAATGATGTCTATAACAGGGTTTAATGATGTCATTAGTGGAACCTACACACACTACACATAACAATGATATAAATGTAAGAAAAAAGACTATTACATACTTGTATACAAATATATGTTTATTTGTAATAAAATATGTTTATTTCAATTTAGGCAAAATCAGTTTCACCATCAATGTTCAAGTTTTTTATTTTTTATTTTTTGTATTTGGATAAACAATCAGTCGAATGCTGAAAGCTACATGGAATCTTTCACAGATCCAAAATAAAAAAATGAGAATCACATCATACAAAGAGTTGAACACACAGACTCACACACACACTTGTAAATCTATTTTTGTGAGGGCACCTACAATAAGTAATCTTATTAAAACCGACCGACCCTAATCCTCAAGTAACTCCTGGAAAATTGTACAGACTTACCATCATTGGCCCCGTCTCTTACAACTCAATGTTCACCCTTTCTTTTCTCTGAATAAACTCAGTATCACTCCACCTTTAACATTTAAAATCAAGGCCAAAACCGAGGACTTTGACTTTCATAACTAATTACAAAGGCACATTTATGAGCACATACGTTTAGATCATCCATCCTTGTTAGAAACATCTCACTATACACACTTTACCATGCCCTGGCTGTAACCCCTAACACCAGGATAAAACGACGCTGGTGTCCATAATACTATGTACACATATAGACACACTTATTCATTAAAGTGAGAAAACTGGCCTGTTCAACTCTTACCCTGTGTCAAACATTACCCTGAAAACCAAAGGCAATAAATCAATCAAATCTCTCAGTACCTCCATATAATCAAGTATTGAACACGGTGTGAATTAAAGAAACTCCATAAATAGAAGAAAAGCACCAAACCTCAACCAAACACTGTCCTTAATACCAATATTCTTGATGATCTGTCTCAACTAGAAGACCCTGGTTCCTAGAGAGACAGGTACATGTGTCTGCACATTCCTGGACATATTTTTATAAGGCAACTTAGTTTTTATTCTTGCCCTGACTCGATAAACGATCCTTAAAACCAAACAGAAAAATGGAGGCTTTTGATGCTTATTATTCCTCACAAAGACAGAAATACGAGAACACACCCATACCCACACACAGAGACACAAAATCAACCTTCACAATTGAAAATACTGCACTCAGAATTCATGGAATTCAAACAATAGTTCCACCCTCACGAATGATCACTGACGAAAAAAAGACTGGAAACTAGAGACTATCTATGTCAGTAAATGTACAAAGGGTTGTTTTGGGGTTTTTTTTAAGAAAATAAAAGTAAATTAATCTAAACTACAACCTGTGAGCAGAGCAAAGCCTCAGCGTGATACTAAACATGGAACAGTTATCAATGTAACTGGAAGAGTTAGTAAGTGTTTTCAAGCAGTGAAGGTTCGAGCGTCTACACTTCATCTACATCTCTCTGATCATCAGCTGCAAGGCTACTGACCTGATGGCTCAATAAAAAAAAAATCTGCATTTAACCACAGGAATCAGAACCAGAACACACGAACAGAACCAGGAACTATAGCCTGTTCCTGCTGCAGAAACCAGATACTAAATGGGATCAACCCAGTTTTTCACCTAAAATAATCCTGTCCCAGATCTAGGACCAATCATTCAGGAACAAGTTCCTGCTTATCTTTTTGGTTCAACGGAGTATTAAAGTTACCAGAAAAGAAACGACATTAGAATCATTTACATTATCTCACAAATTAATGTATAGAGTTGCTTTCACTGCAGAAGAAACTGCAGGCTGCTATAGCATGAGTAAATTCATTTCTTTGTTGCAATAGATGTCTGGAACTGGGGTCTAGAAAACTGGTTCCTGGATTTGATCAGTGAGCCGTATATCGAGATGGCAGATAAAGAAGCAACATTCTTCTGGTTTAAACTATAATGTCTACAAGCGTTTGTTGTTCAGCAGAACACATTGAGTCTATCTAGAACACTTACAGTGGTTTAAAAACAGACACTAGAGTTAGCAGCCAGAAAAAGGTAGCTTTTAAGGTAGTTTTGTTTTGAACTTTCAACAATCAAAAAACCCTCGAATGACCTTGAAGAACCTCGTCCAGTCAAGTTTCCACAAAAGTCTGGCGAGTAGCAACAAAAGGCAGGTTTGGACTTCCGTTTCGTCTATAGTCCTGTGAGGTCCACGATGGCCTTGATGAAGATGGTATCATCTCGTATGTAGGAGTTTTTAGAGTCCAGTTTTGAAAGAGGACAGAAGAGCGGGCAGCCACTGGCGATGTTCATGTCACTAACGGGTCTCTGGAAGGATGAGGAGGAGATGTCGGGTCTAAAGGCGTCAATGATGTGTTCTCTGTTGTTCTGGTCCAGCAGCATCAGGGTCACCTGGAAACAAGTGGGGTTAAAGTTCAACATTAACATAACCTCTGTAATATCAGTTACATTAAGAGTATTTACATAATATGAATTTTACATAACATTAGCCATATTTTTATGATGGTTTACATTGGGGTGCATAGCTTTGGTTTCATTACTTAACCTTAAACCTTATTTATTTATATAGCACCTTTCATAGATAAATCTATCTATGTATATTCTGAAATAAATGTGTACAATACACTACATTACTTTTATTTTTGTATTTTTATTTTATTTTTTATACTTTTATTGATTTTATTTCAAACTTTTATGTAAGTAGGTGTAGAATGTATCAATACCAACCCGATGGCGCCGTGGACGGTCGACATGATGTTTGGTACAGCACTCCTTTTACTGTTTTTGCGTTTTTCCCCCCGTTTGCTCTGGTTCCCAGAACTTTTACACCAGGGATTATCTTATAAACATCCGTGCAACTACTCCACTGGATTTATTCCCCGAGTTACTATTCTCTTCAACTGACATTTTGGATATTTTATTCAAAGGCGCCCTGGTCAACATCAAAGCAGCGATGCGTCGGAAGAGAGGGAAACGAGCCGATGTGCTCGTACGGCTGCGTCGCCACAGATTTTATACACCTCTCCCTGGCATATTCGAACAAGGGTGAGCTAGAACAACGACAAACCCTGGTTCACAGCAAAACACAGACGGAGGCTCAAGGAAGAGGCGTTCAGGCGTGGAGACAAAGAGAGTTACAAAGAGTCAATAAACAAGTTTAGCAGGGAGGTAAGGAAAGCTAAACAACAGTATTCTGAGAAACTTTAACACGAGTTCTCAGCTAATGACTCTGCCTCTGTTTGGAGAGGGCTCAGACAAATCACTACAGTCCTAAAGCCCCCCACCCCATTAACAACATGTGCCTTGCAAATGAGCTGAACGACCACTACTGTCGCTTTGAAAGTCAATTGGTCTGTCCTGACACCTTTCCCTGAACAGCCACGCCCACCCCACCCACTGCAGGAACTCCAACACCTTATCCAGCTCCCCCAGCTTACCCCCTCACCACAACTGGACCGACTCTTGCTAACAAAGAGCAAGACGTGAAAAGGCTTTTCAAAAAACAAAACCCCCGCAAAGCAGCCGAACCGGACCACATCTCACCTGCCACCCTGAAGCACTGTGCTGACCAGCTGTCCCCAATGTTCACAGACATTTTCAACACCTCACTGCCATCCTGCTTCAAATCCTCCACCATCATCCCTGTCCCCAAAAAGCAAAAGCCCTACAGACTAAGTGACTACAGACCTGTTGCCCTAACCTCTGTGGTCATGAAGTCATTTGAACGCCTTGTCCTGACACACCTGAAAGCCATCACTGATCCACTCCTGGACCCCCTGCAGTTTGCCTACAGAGCCAACAGGTTTGTAGACGATGCGGTCAACTTAGCCCTCCACTTCATCCTGCAGCATCTAGACCACACAGGAACCTACACCAGGATCCTGTTTGTAGATTTTAGCTCAGCCTTCAACACCATAATCCCAGCTTTCTTACAGAGTAAACTGCTCCAGCTCAGTGTACCGGACTCCACCTGTAGGTGGATCACTGAGTTCCTGACTGACAGGAGTCAGCATGTGAGGATGGGGAAGCACACCTCTGACTCCCTCTTCTCCTCTGCGCTTCTCCCTGTACACAAACACCTGCACTTCGAGCCATCAGAATGTCAAGTCCCTGAAGTTCACGGGTGACACCACCCTCATCGGACTCAT